TTGGTTCAATGTCGATACGAGAAGTTGGAAGAACCACCGAAGGAATTACCGGTCACCGTTCACAACCTCAGCATCGCCGGGAGCAACTTGAGCATCTTGCATGGAGCTGCTTTCGCCTCTCACCCGTTACCGGATCTACGGCTGGCCCCCGCCACGATAACATCCAAATCATCGAGGACATGGCTCTGCAAGGGTTGCCCGCTCTACGGACCCTCGACCTGAGCCATAATCCCTTGGTCACGGTAGCCGCCGGTGCTTTCGCCGGTGCACCCCTGCTCCGTACCCTACAGCTCAACCAAGTGTTGTTGGCCACCTCTTTGGAAGAACAACTGGCCCTGGCCCTGCGTAACCTCAGCTTGCGACGTTTGGAGTTGACGGGCAACTCGTTGAAGGAGCTGCCGGTCACCTTGTTGCCCACCGGCTTGGAGGAGTTGGATCTGCGGAACAACTCGCTGCAGCGGTTGACAGCCGCTGAGTTGCAGATGCTGGATGCACCGGGGTTACGAGGATCAACTTAGGGGCCAACCCGTTGAGTTGTGACTGTGCCCTACGCCCGTTCCTCGCTTGGCTACGTGCCGCCACCGCCCGTGTGTCCGATGCCCGTAGCCTACGCTGTGCTGGACCACCACCCCTACGTGGGGCCACCCTACTGCGCCTGCGGCCCGAGGGGCTGGGGTGTACGGCTACGGAGGGGGAGTCAACTGGAAACGGCTTCTTATGTCTTCTTTGGCATCGTGTTGGCCCTCATCGGCATCGTCTTCCTCATGGTGCTCTACCTGAACCGCCGCGGTATCAAGCGTTGGCTCCACAACCTCCGCGAGGCTTGCCGTGATCAGATGGAGGGCTACCACTACCGCTACGAGCAGGACGCTGATCCTCACCGTACCAGCGCCATGGACACCCCCGGCCTCTGACAGCACCCTCATCATCCCACCCTCACACCCCTTCGGCACCCTCCTGCCATGTCACCCCTCGATGCCTCCGCTCCCAACATCCACCTCACTCCATCCATCCCCTTGTCATGGCATCACCCAAAACTAGTTTCTGAGGACAAGCTGGCCTCAGGGATGGGTGCTGGGGTGTGTCAAACTGGGGGGCACCCTCCCCAGATGGCTCCAGACCAGCTCTCCCTACTCAACCCCATAGCGCTGACTCCCCAGGGGACCGGGCTGGATCTGTTCCCCCCCCCATCCCAGCACCCATGGGCAGGGGGAAGCGCATCCAGATCAGTCCCGTGGGATGGTGGCACGCACAGCCCCAGTGCTCCCAGGAGGATTAAGGAGCTGCTTCCCCAACACCTTCTCCTCCAGCGGTGGGTTTCTTCGGTGGACTGCGGGATGTCACGCTGCCTGCGGAGCTCAGCACCACGTGAGTGTTGGTGGGTGATACCTGAAACTGTCCTCCTGGATGTTCCTGGAGCTTGGACTTGACTTTGACCATGTACAGCTCTCTTTTCCTAGTAGATTTCTATTTGACAGCTGCAGAACTTCACTCGATTGCTTTTTTTTTTCTTTGTTGTTATTTTTTTTTGCTCTAAACACAGAAGAAAACACATCACCCAACTGCTCCCCTTAAGAATCCATCGACTTCCCCAAACCCCTTTATCCAGTTGATTTTATTCAATGACATTTCCAGCTCTTTCCAGGCACAAAACCCGACACAGCTGGGTCAGAAACGCCTCTGCCAGATGTGTGCATGTTCCCCGGGGGCACGTGGAGAAGAGGAGGGGGTGGAGGGTGGGGGGGGCAGCTCCTTTTTTTTTTCTGCCTCTCAAAAATCCATCCTAGACCAGGTTGTCTCAGCACTTTGTGATTGAGAAGGAACGAAGAGGAAGCTCTCGCCCTCATTCACCCACCTGCCCGTGGGTTTTGCTTTAGAACTGTGCCTGTTATTATATCCTCCAGCAAATATATCGAAGGCTGCACCCACTCTTATCGTCTTTGTTTTCTAGGAAGCTTCTTGCAATGATTTCTGAATATCTCCTGGGTTGGTTGGTTGGTTGGTAGGTTTGGAGGAGGGAAGGTCATTTTTGGGTTCTTCTATAGTTTTGTTGAGGCTGAAAAATTTATTTTCCTGGGCTGGGATGGAGGGAGGTTTCAACTCTGAAAGAGTTGGGGCTGTTGAGCCTGGAGAAGAGAAGGCTCCGGGGAGACCTTCTAGTGGCCTCCCAGTACCTGAAGGGGCTCCAGGAAGGCTGGGGAGGGACTTTTCATAAGGGCAGTTAATGACAAAACAAGGGGAAATGGGTTTAAGCTGAAAGAGGGGAGGTTTAGATGAGATATTAGGAAGAAGTTCTTCACTGTGAGGGTGGTCAGACACTGGAACAGGTTGCCCAAGGAAGTTGTGGCTGCTCCTCCCTGGAAGTGTTTGTGGCCAGGTTGGATGAGGCTTTGAGCAACCTGGTCTAGTGGAAGGTGTCCCTGCTGCTGGCAGGGGGGTTGGGACTGGATGAGCTTTAAGGTCCCTTCCAACCCAAACCATTCTGTGATTCTATAGTAAGGGAAGGATTGGGGAAAATGATGGGGGAAAAATGAGCCAGGTAATAAGTTTCTACAGTAATTCCTGTTTCCTGAGTGTTTTGTTACTTCATTCATGAGACGTCAGAGCGCTGAGCATCTCCAGATGGAGGGAGAAGAAACGTGGGGCTGCCACTCACAGCATTTGTCCAAAATGAAGCTGTAGCTCTTAAAAATGTGACATCTGAAAAATGCAGAACATCAGTGCTGGGCTGAAAAAAATATATATATATGTGTGTTGTGTTTTGATAAATCTGTGTTTGATTTTCTCCATCCTGGGAGGTTTGATATGGGGTGAGTTGAGGATGGGGAGATACATCCTCAATGCTCCACAACCATGCTGGGATCAGTGCTGGGTGCTTTGGGATCTTTGATGTGAGGAGCAGCAGGTGCCCGGTGTGTTGGGTTTGGAAGGGAGAGTTTTGTGGGATTTGGGGTTTGTAAGAGAGAATTTTGTGGGATTTATGGTCCCTGATCCTCCTGGAGGGGAAAGTTCTGCTGGGGGAAAACACAATTATTTCCATCCCAGGCGTACCTGGAGGTCCTGGGAAGGGTGGGACCTGGTGTAGGGTGCTTTCAATTTTACCTCGTTGCTTTTTCTACCCCTGGTTCTATTTTCCCCCTTTTCATTTTTTTCCCCTTATAAACCCTGGATCAAACTGGGCAAACTGGGAAAAGGGAGCTGGTGCAGAACCATGTGTCTGGGGTGTATTCAGGTCAGGCTGCAGCACTGGGAATCAAGATTCCTGGGTGCTCTGGGCCGGTCCTGCTGAGCAGGGAGCTGGTTCCCCACCAGAACCAGGTGCTGGAGCTGTCTCCATTCCCAGGGAAGCCCCAGAGATCCCCACAGCTCAGTTTATCAAAGATGAGTTGCTCCAGTAGAAACTTGGTGCATTTCATGGACCTTTTCCTCAGGTTTTCTCTCCATCTTTGGAGCTTGTGGGCTCCAGCCCCACCTCACCACCCCATGCGATGAGTTATGGGGCAGGTTTATGGGGTGAAACCTCAGCACTCACCCACTTTCCCACTTCTTCCCTCCATTTTACAGAATCCCAGACTGGTGGGGTTGGAAGGGACCTCAGGAGATCATCCAGTCCAACCCAGTACAACCCCCCTGACAAAGCAGGTTCCCTACCCCAGGTTGCACAGGAAAGTGTCCAGGTGGGTTGGAACATCTCCAGAGATGGAGACTCCACCCCCTCTCTGGGCAGCCTGTCCCAGGGCTCCAGATTTTCCATCTTCTCTTCTCCAGGCTGAACAGTCCCAGCTCTCTCAGCCTCTCCTCACACGGGAGATGCTCCAGCCCCTCATCATCTCTGTGGCCTCCGCTGGACTCTCTCCAGAAGATCCCTGTCCCTCTGGAACTGGGGAGCCCAGAACTGGACACAACACTCCAGATGTGGCCTCAGCAGGGCAGAGTAGAGGGGGAGGAGAACCTCCCTCGACCTGCTGCCCATGCTCTTTTTAATGCCCCCCAGGACACTGGTGGCCTTCCTGGCCACAAGGACACACTGCTGGCTCATGGCCAACCTGCTGCCCACCAGCACACCCAGGTCCTTTTCCACAGAGCTCCTCTCCAGCAGGTCACCCCCAACCTGTCCCGGTGCCTGGGGTGAACGGAGGAGTAACCTGGGTCATCCCAAGCTGCAATTCCACTGGAGCAGCATCAGTTTGGGTGAAGTCTTGGTGAGATCTCACATCTTGCAGTGAGGAGGACAAGTGCCTGGAGGGCTTTGCAGGCAGATGGGTGGTTGTTGGATCAAGGAACACAACACCCAGCAGTGCTTGGTGGCAGATAATGAGAAGATAATTTCCTCTGAGCTGATGAAAAAGTGGCCAAAGGCATTTTGGTCCCAAAGCTCTTCAGCAAAGGGGGTGGCTGATGTGGACAACTGGTTGCTCCAGCTTTCTCCAAGGGTGAAGGGAGGGATGTGGTGGCTTTTGGTCCTCAGGGGTGAGGAAATTCCTCCTTTTAGCACAGAGCATCATGCTCCTCATCCTCACTGGGTGCACCAAGACCCCAGGGTGTGTGCACTGAACCCCTCCAGGGAGGCAAAGCCCCATCAGCCTGGTAAAGGTGACGTGCGAGTGGTCAGATGTGGGTGGCTGGGTGGACAACCAGCTGTAGGAACATCATTCTTGTGGCTTGTTCATGTTGATATTACTCTGTCCAGCACATACCCCACTCATGAGACATCAGCAGGATTAGGGAACCTCGGGATTAGGGAAACCAAGACTCAAAATGTGCTTTTTTTTTGGGTTCCCAAAGACAACTGCATGTTTGGAGACACACAGCTGCTGGAGAACCCCATAGTGCCATGGGGTTCCTCTCCACCAAGGGTTCAACCAGGGGGGTGTGAATCTCTTGCTGTGCCAAACATGAGCCCTTTGTGGTGGCTCATCACCAAAAAATAGGGGGAAAAACCACCCAAAATAGGGGAAAAAAAACCCCAAATAGGGGGAAAAAACCCAAAATAAGGGGAAAAAAATAGGGGAAAAAAATTCCAAAATAGGGGGGGGGGGAAACAAAATAGGGGGAAAAAAAT